AAAAAAAAAAAAAAAATTACTATAAAGCTATAGTAATTAAGACTAGAAGACTGGTGATGTAGCTCACTGGCAGAGTGTTTGCCCTAGAGCAGCACCCTGGATTTGAGCATCAAACACAAAACAAAACAAAAAAAAATAGTGTGGTAATGACATAAGGATAGACTAATGGAAATAGAGTTCAGAAATAAATGCATATATCTAATTGTTAAATTATATTTGCCACAGTACCAAAAGCATTTGCTAGGAAAATAACACTCTTTCAATAAATGGTGCTGGGACAACTAAAGAGCCACGTGTAAAAAATGAAGTTGGACAAATATTAAAAATGGATCAAATAGTTAAATGTTAAATACTACAACCATACAACTTTTTTTTAAAAAACCACACCTTTTAAAATAAAACACAAGGCTAAATCCTTATGAACTGGGATTTGGTAATGGCTTCTGAAATATGTCACAGAAAGGATATGTGTCAAAAGAAAAAAAAATTGGATAGCAACAGGACACCACAATTGACAATGGGAAGAAAATTTTGCCAGCTACATCTCAAAGGACTAATATCTAGAATAAATAAAGATCTTTAAAAAAAAAAAAGACTTCCCAGAATGAAAAACCCAATTTAAAAAATGTGTCACTGAAATGAATAGACATTTCTCATAGGAAGTACAAATGGCTGGCAAATACATGAAAAAATGTTCAACATCTCTGGTCATAACAAATGAAAATTAAGACAATAGTTAAAATCATCATATTACAGGGATATGTGTATACCCATGTTTACAGCAGCACAACTCATAACAGTTAAATCTTGGAAGCAGGCTTTATTCATCTGTTTAAATCAACAGATGAATGGATAAGGCAAATGTGGTTATTTATACACAATGTACAACTACTCTGCTATAAAAAAAGGATAAATGAGTCATTTGTAGGAAAATGGATGTGCCTTGAGACCATAATGTTAAGTGAAATAAATTAGACACAGATGCTTAAATATTGCACGGCTTTTCTTTTTTTTCTAAATAGGTGATTTTTATTTTCCACAATATTCACTTTCATGAAAATGAATGCAAGGATTGCAAACATGTTTACTAAGCGCTAGAACTCATATAAGAACTTTTACATGTATTTATAAGTATTCACTAATTGAATCCTTACAAGAACCAGTCTGAAGGTATCCATTACTACTGCCATTTTACACATGAGGAGAATGGAGGCTCAGAGAGGCCCCAAGGTCACAGAGCTAATTACTAACAGAATCAAGATTATAAGCTAGGCAGTGGCATCAGGGTCCTTAGGGAAAAGACCCTAAAAGATTACTGATAATTTTTTCCTCTCATCCATTTGCTTGTTTGTGACAAGGTTTCTTCCAGTTCGTGTTGAATTCACTATGTACCCCAAGCTAGCCTTGAACTCACAGCAAATCTTCCTGCCTCAGCCTCCCGAGTAATGGAAATATAGGCATGCAGTACCATGATGGGTCTTCCTCTCATTCACTTGCAAAATTTTAAAGTTTGCTCTTGTGTCTCCCGCAGGCAACT